CCCCACTTCCCGCCCTACAGTGATGTCATAGAGAGCTGCACTGTGATGTCATGGAGGGCTGGCGCATGGAGAGCGAGGTGATTGGCTGCAGGGTGGGCCCTGCATTGCCCCAGTCTCTGGTTGGTGGGGGAGGGGGCTGTGACCCCCCCCAGAAAGGGGCCGGGGGGTGCAGCCCCTGGCTGTGGGGTTCACCTCACGCACAGGCACACCCCTCATGCACTCACGCTCCATCCGGCTGGCTCGCACGAGCTGGGACGCCGGGCGGCGGACAGGAAAGGGATTCCCCCCAGCTCAGTAATCCGTGGGGCAGGGTGCTGCTAGATCCTCTGGGCCCGTCTCACCCCTGGCCGGGCCGGGTCCCATGGCGCTGGGGGCCCCTCGGTCTCTGCCCATGGCCACACGAGAGCTCCGGGGGGCTGCCGGGGGGTCGTCTGACGGGCCCTGGACTGAATTCACCTCCTCCAATTTCTGGGTCTTCTGCAAACTTGATGGAGGGGGTGAGCTGATGTTGTCTGCTGGGCCTGCTCCACGCCGGATCCCATTTACCCTTCGCCGGGAGCCAGCTTCTCAGCCACCGAACACGGGCCGGCTTCGTTTGACCCGGCGCTCGTTAGTCCCGCTGACGCCCAAGGCTGTTACAGCCGCCCCGCGACCTTCGCCAGCCAAACCCGTAATCCCCGTGCAAGCAGAGCGCGCCTTCGGGATCGATTCTCCATACACCCGCGGGGACTGGCCCTAATTACATTATCCTCTTCATTCTTTATCAGTCGGATCCCGTATCGGCCGCTCCATTCTCTTGCCTGGGAACCGTATCGGGTGACAGGCCTAGAAAGACCCAGGTCTTCCTGGTTACCCTGTTCAAATAGCGTTAACACAGCCCAGAACGAAATGACCCTTTTTGCAACTCCTATGCAAGCTGCGATCTGCTCTAAGCCCCAGGGCCTTTGCAGCCGCACGACCACCTCGCCGATGGGTTTGTAGCCGCGCGTTTGATTTTCCCTGCGTGCGGTTCCTTGCACTGGTTTTTACTGAATTGAATCTTGTGGATTTCAGACCAATTCTCCCAATTGTGACGCTGTCCTGCAAAGTGCTTGCGACCCCGCCCAGCTTCTGCTGCTTTTAGGAGCATCCTCTCCACTCCTTTATCCGAGTCATTAATGAAGATGACCCAGGACTGACCCCTGTGGGACCCCAGTAGATACGCCCTCCCAGTTTGACCACCAACCTTTGACGACGACTCTTTGGAATTGCATCTCGACCCCATTTATCTGGTTTGCTTAGGAGCCTGGCATGTGGGACTCTAGTCAAAAGCCTGACTAAAATCAATATAAATTAAGTGATCATGTGACATGATGACAGCAACCATTTTTCTCAAATACAGAACAGAGATAATTATTAAACACTTCTGCCGTCTCTGCATTATTACTGATGATAATTCTACCATTTCCCTCCTGTAATGAACCAATACCATTGTCAGAATTTCTTTTTGTTCCTAATGTACTTTTAAAAACACCTTTCTTTGTCCTTAACTCTGCCGGTCACAGATTTCTCCTGGTGTCCCTTCGCTTCCCTTATCAATTTTCTACAATTCCTAGCTCCGGATCCATTTTCATTACAGCCAATTTGCCCTTTCTTCCAAGTATTTATTTTGACTTTTTTATAGCTGCCTTCACTTCCCTCTCTAAACTAGGTTGTTCTTTTTAACCAATATGCACATCTTCCTTTTGATTGTGGAAATGTGGCTTTTTGCGTATCATTCACTTTTTTCTCATTAAATTCTTCCTCCCAGCTGAGGTCGAGCAGAATGGTCTTCCGCTTTGTGAAATGGTCTCTTTGAAAGCACCGAGCAGATCTAGCGCAGGTTGGGACTTTGTTTGCACATTAGCAATGGGATCAAGCTGTGATTACTGGTACCTAAAGTGACCGTTCGTTTTTAGTTCTGTGCTCAGTGTCTCTTTGGCTGCCAAGACGGGGTCTAGTCTAGGATTTGCCCTGTTTTGGGTGCGACGCTTTTTGAGCCAGGAAATTGTCATCTCTAAGGCTTAGAAATTCCACGGGTGTTTTAGGGCCGGCAGCACGAGACCTGCAGAATACGTCGCTCAACTTGAAATCCCCCTGTGATTTGGCAGCTTCCCCCCTACACCTCGTAGGTAGATGGTTAAGGAACCTGTTCCCTGGGGGCTGTAGTAGACACCAACTCCCACCCCATCTTGGGCTGTATGGGTTAGGAGGGTGACCCAGGAGCGTTCGAGATCATTTTCTTCCGGGTCGGCCGTAACGAAGGAGGGTCGAGTGGTTCCTTCAGCCCGGCGGTTCTGAGACACCCGCGTACACACTGACACGCGTCCACGGCTGTGCACTGTCCTGCTTATGGCGTGAGGCAGACATGCCCACCGGTGTGCACTCACACAGCTGTGCACCCCCACCCCCATGCACCATCCCACCATGCACCGGGCTTGGCCAGCCCACCATGCACCAAGCTTGGCTGTCTCACAATGCACCGGGCTTGGCCGTCCCACCATGCACCGGGCTTGGCCGTCCCACAATGCACCGGGCTTGGCCAGCCCACCATGCACCGGGCTTGGCCAGCCCACCATGCACCGGGCTTGGCCGGCCCACAATGCACCAGGCTTGGCTGTCTCACAATGCACCGGGCTTGGCCGTCCCACCATGCACCGGGTTTGGCCGGCCCACAATGCACCGGGTTTGGCCGGCCCACAATGCACCAGGCTTGGCCGTCCCACAATGCACTGGGCTTGGCTGCTGACTCTGGACCGCCCCCCCCCCCCCCGTCCATGTCAGTTCAGTTAAAAAAAACATGACTGAAACCAGAGGGGCTTTTGTGAAATGTGTGTGTGGGGGGGAGGTGCCCTGGGCGGGTGGGGACGGGGGACACGGGCCCTCTCAGGCTCTGCAACAATCACACACCCTTATCCCCTCCCACCTAGATACCTAAGAACTGCATAGGGGAAACTGAGGTACCCACATAGTATTCAGAGGAAACATTAAGAACAGTCCCACTTCGTCACACCCTCCCCCATCTGTGGCCTCTGACCACACCGTGTGGGGTATTGCCAGGGCTCAGCTGTGTGTGTGGGTCTCTGTTCCCACACCTTCCCCGGGAGCTGGCCACGCCAGCTGGGACGAGGCAGGCGTGACCCTAGTGACTCGGGACTGGCGTGCCTGGCATAGGCTGTGCGAGAGCTTTGCACGGGGCCGGGTGTGCGTGCGAGGAAAAGGGACCGGCCCTGCGAGATGTGGTTAGCAGCAGCCACCAGCCGGCCTGTCGGTGAGGCCGGAGATGTGGGGCTGGCAGGGCCCCGGAGCGCACGGGGCGCGTGGGAGGTGGCGCTTTCCTGTTTGCCAGCGAGGGGGGAAGCGAAAGCTGCGATTGCTGCTGTCTGTGCTCCCGCAGCGCCATGGCCGGGCCCGGCAGCTTCCCGCTCGTCGCCCTGCTCCTCGGCCAGTGCCTGGACACCGGTCAGAGCAGGGGCTGGGAGCCAGGACGCCTGGGTTCTCTCCCCGGCGCTGGGAGGGGAGTGGGGCCTGGTGGGTCAGAGCAGGGGGGCCTGGGAGCCAGGACGCCTGGGTTCTCTCCCCGGCGCTGGGAGGGGAGTGGGGCCTGGTGGGTTACAGCAGGGGGGCTGGGAGCCAGGATGCCTGGGTTCTCTCCCCGGCGCTGGGAGGGGAGTGG